ATATTTTATTTATTTGACAGAGAGGACAAGTAGGCAGAGAGGCAGGGAGAGGGAGAAGCAGGCTCCCCGCTGAGCAGGGAGCCCGATGTGGGACTCCATCCCAGGACCCTGGGATCATGACCCGAGCTGAAGGCAGCTGCTTAACCAACTGAGCCACCCAGGTGCCCCTGGAAAACTTCTTTTTAATATAAAGCTGCTATTGGGGAGCCTGGGTGGCTCAGTCGTTAAGCATCTGCCTTCGGCTCAGGTTATGATCCCAGGGTCCTGGGATGGAGTCCCGCATCGGGCTCCCTGCTCAGCAGGGAGCCTGCTTCTCCCTCTGCCTGCTGCTCCCCCCTGCTTGTGCTCTCTCTCTCTCACTGTCAAATAAATAAATACAAAAATCTTAAAAAAACAAACAAAATTGCTATGGATTAATTGATGTTCAGGGTGTTCAGGGAGGGGGGCATCAATTGACCATCTAATCAGTAAAACAACTCTATTTAGGATTTTTGCATTTGAGAATATTTTGAGAGAGAGATATAATGTGCACAGTAAATTTCTAATTTAAGAGACAAAGACAAAACAGCCTTTTGTAGATAAATAAGTACACATAGAATGGAAACATGCAGATATAGATCTATAAAGAGACATCAAAAATACATTGTTTATGGTGTTAATTCTCTAACATGTAATCTTAGCATATTAAAAGGCTGTTTTGTGTTTTAGAACCATAAGAATGAATGGGGATGTCACCTTTCATTTTGTTCTGAAGATTGCATGTATCAGAGCCAAAGTCGAATCTCTTTACTTCCACTGCTAATTGAGATGTTTACTATTTGAGTATACTCTGGAATGAGGAAGTTTATCAATTAATATGCCACTTAAGCAGATAGTATTAGCGTTTCTTTAATTTGATGTACTAGACATTATATCTGCTATAAAAGCCAGCTTTTTAAAATTCATGCTCCAGTGTTAAAAAAATTTTAATGCAGACTTTCTGTTCTTTGGATCATTTAAATCGTGACTTATGAATATTTTTAATTTTTATATTCTAGTATTTATCATTTGTCTTGGTCTGGCTGCATAGAGTTATCAGTTTGCTCAAAATTGTTTGAAATTGTTAAAATACTAATTGTGAGCATTGACCAGTTCTTAAGTTAAAAAACAGCTTTGGCCCTAAAAGAAGCACTAAGGAAACCTGAATTCACTGATAAAGCACAGGTAAAATTTGACCGTAAAACTTTTAGAAAGGAAAATATAGTTTAATGCTTATCATGTAAGAAAGTGGAACAAGTACTTGAATTCAGAAGCTAGTACTAAGTATATCTTTTCTTAACTGTGTGTAAATGGAAAATATAGCTGGCTACTAATAATAGTGAAATAATTTACTGGTTGCTATTAAATAGATGCCAAGTTTCAAAGTAGTTGTATAATTTGAGATAACTCTTACTTTATGTCAGTGATTCCAAAAGTTATGTACCATTTGATTTTAACTTGGCACCTTTGTGCATTGTAACCATATTATTATACAAGAAGCGTACAGCAACAGCATTTGAATAAATGACTTTTAAAAAGACAAAGATAACTATTCTGTAGTATAAAGAATATCTACATTTTAATAAAGCAGAGATGGTTAGAAAAGTTCTAGAATATGAAGTGCCACTCAGAGAAGACAGCTATGGAGTAGGAACAAAGACAAACTTTATGTAGTTTGCAGTTTGCCTAGGGCTGTCCTTGGTACTCCTTTCTCTTTTTATTATTTTGTTGCTCTTTGTTCTCATTGTTCTGCTGTGTTTGAAGATGTTTACAATTTGAAAGTTTAATGTAAAACATGTTCTTTTTCTCAGAAAGGAAGAAAAATACTTTTTTAAAGAAGTTACATAGATGTTCTCTGTAGCATTTCTTTTGAAAAAATACTTTACTACAAATAGCTGGCTAAAGCTATTAGTTAACAAACTGTATGTTAAGATTTTTTGGCATTGCTATAATTATCTATTAGAAGTTGTTATTTTTAGACCAATTTTATATAATAAGCAGGTCTGTCTATTTTTCTAATAGCTGATGATATAAAGCCATGTCCACGATGTGCTGCTTATATAATAAAGATGAATGATGGGAGCTGTAATCACATGACCTGTGCTGTCTGTGGTTGTGAGTTTTGTTGGTTATGTATGAAAGAAATCTCAGATTTACATTATCTAAGGTAAGTTTATAGAAGGAGCTATTTAGTCTATGCCATACCATCCTGAATGTGCCCAATCTTGTCTGATATTGGAAGCTAAGCACGGTTGGGCCTGGTTAGTACTTGGGGTTGGCGGGGAGAGTTATTTATATCTAAATATTTTATATTATAAGATAATTGGAGACCGTATTATCTTGAGGATTTTTAAACTTGGTGCTTATAAGATACTAAGAGGGATGTGTTTCGTTCTAGTTACATACATCAGGTAATGTGAGACATAAATTCATGATGTATCTTTGAATGGAAAAAACATTTTTTAAACAAAAATAAAATTTTTATTTTATTTTAAAAGAATGTAAAAGGAACCAAATAATTGTGCCTAGTCACTTGGGATTAATTAGTCAAAAATAGGAAGTATAGATTTCTTCTTTTTTTGTTTGTTTTGTTAAACTAGAAGCTAGTATTTTATACCCCCATGTAATTATGCTAGGTCATAAATATTTCCATTTAATTTTCTTAAACATAAATTCCCTCAGTCCACAAAGTGAGTTTGATATAATCAGATAATTGTATGCCTAAAAATAAGCATGTTCTGCATTAATTTGCTCTTCAAAAACTAACCTAACATTTTCAGGATAATGAAGGACTAGGGATAAATATTTAACCTGAATTCTAGTTACTGGTTTCCTTTTAAAATAACTGATGGTGGTTCTTAAATTGATTTTTTTGGCTTTTAATGAACTCAGAATTCAAAGAAAAGAAAACCTCATTTCTGAGTATGAGAATTCTTCTTTTAGAGTCATTGCTTTAATGTATTATAGTCATTTGTTGGTATGTTTTACAGCAGTAACAGTTATAATCTTTTCCATTAGTCCATCAGGATGTACTTTTTGGGGGAAGAAGCCCTGGAGCCGAAAGAAGAAGATACTGTGGCAGCTGGGAACGCTTGTTGGTGCTCCCGTAGGAATTGCTTTGATAGCTGGCATTGCTATCCCTGCAATGATTATTGGCATTCCTGTGTATGTGGGCCGTAAGGTAAAATGCTTAATTCCTTACTAGTTCATTATCTTATTCAGACCTTCAGGTTTTAGACTGATGATTTTTCTTTTGTTTTTTTTTGTCTTGAAAGACAGATAATTTTTAGTATCTTCAGTATAAAACTATTTTATTTTTTTATAAGATATTAAATTTTCGGTGTTTGGCAGACTTGTATGTATGCATAAAAAGTAGACTTGCCTTAAAATTACCTGAATCCGAAAACTTTAGTACATTTCTTTTCTAACTTTAAGTATAAAGTATTGAAGGACACACCTGATATTTTTCTCATGGGTATATCCTTGTAAAGTTAGGTCTATAAAAAGTTAATAGCTAAATAACACATACCCTCAAGGCGAAGAATAAATAGCCAGTTCCTGAATTATTTTCAACTTTAGTTCAAAGGTTTTATTTTCTTAGATTACTGCTATTAGTAAATACGCTGTTCTGTAGATTATAACAGTCTTGTGTAAGTCCAAACACCAGTAATTACCACTGGCCTATGAGTGATGAATTATACTTCGTTAGCTAGGCAATAATTCTTTTTTGAAAGGTTAAAGGGATAATTTATGAAGTGGCTAAGAAGTCTGCTGCTGTCTACATTAATGGAATCTCAGAATTGAGAAGTAACTTTAGAAATTATCTAAGGGGTGCCTCGGTGTTTCATTAAATTCTGGTTATGACTTTTGGGACTAAACTGAAGAGGAGGCTGATCCTCTTCCATATAACAGCCCCATTTTTTAATAAATATTCAGCATATATTACTTTTATAATCAGAAAAATAACAATACATACTATTTTTTTAAAGATTTATTTATTTATTTATTTGAGAGAGAGAGAGAGTACATGAGAGGGGGGAAGGTCAGAGGGAGAAGCAGGCTCCCCGCTGAGCAGGGAGCCCGAAGCGGGACTCAATCCCGGGACTCCAGGATCATGACCTGAGCCGAAGGCAGTCGCTTAACCAGCTGAGCCACCCAGGCGCCCCAGTACATACTATTTTTTTAAAATTAGCTTTAGGACCAAGGATAAACATGGATACTTATGAGCCAAATGTTTATTTCAGAAGGTTTTAATTAACTAAACTTGTTTAAGGTCCCAAACATAGTAGCTGATTATATAATCTTTCATGTAGCTATCCAAAGCAAGGCTTTGCTAAAAACAAAACTGTTTATTCAGATACTTAGAAATAGAAGTAGAAGGGAAGGAGAGACTGTTGTACTGCACACACCTACAAATAATTTATAGAGGAGAGATTATTTACCTCATTGTTCATGTCTTAGGTGCAGTTACAAGTCTCCTTTTTTCAAACATAGACCCAAAGGATTGCAAGTCGATGAATTAGTTTTCCATTGAAACAATGTTCTCTGTGGTGTTTAGGGTTGTAAACCAGCCCAGGAAAACGCATTAAGTTGATAAAGTATCTAAAAGCTTAGTCTTTATTTACAGTAACAAATAGAAAATGTGGCACAAAACAGTAGAAGAGAAAAAATTAAGTTGAACCAGAAATAGAATGTTGTGATCACTGTAATTGACCATTGGTGCTTGAGGATGCAAAATTTTCTGGAAGATTCCTGTCTACTCTGTCAGTTTTTCAGCTTTGGCTTTTCTCTGCTTCATTGCTAAGTTTTTCAGGAATGGTAGTGAGGAGAGGAGCAAGAATTAGCTGTAGTACTGAAGGATAGTGAAAGAGGCCTTGGGAGGCTCTGCCATTTCTGCCTGCATGGACTATCTCGGGAAGTGTGGAGGCCCATTCCCTAGGCACGTACAGTCAGTGCTGGCAGGGTTCTGACTAGGAAAGGTGAATGCTGCTTGTCCCGTGCAGGCTTCGCCCACCTCCCCAACCTGGCTCTCTCACTGTTTCATATGTCCCACAAGACTCATTATACTTTATAGCCTTCGAGATAACCACATCATCATAATAATAATCTTATTAAACCTCACCTGTAACATTGTTCAGAACTCAAGTATTTTATTTTAGAGACTATCTGTACACTTTTGAGGGCTGTTTTGAATATGTCTTGAAACGGAAGGGAAATGTACTTTATGAGCTTAAGCCCTTGCAAACCATGAGACCAAAGATACTGGGCTGTTTCTTGAAGTTGATGTATCTCGCAAGCCACTTCCAGTGTGGTATTAAATTCTGTTTATTAATACCTGTACTGTACAAAGATGCTAAGTATACCTAACTCCTGTCCTCTGGCAGCATTCTTCTTTTTTTTTTTTTCTCCTCTTTCTGCCTTTTACTTTGAGCTATAAATGAGACCCCAGGATTCTGAGTCATTTGATAATATTTTTCTTTTTTTTTTTTTTAAAGATTTTATTTTATTTATTTGACAGAGAGAGAGAGACAGCTAGAGAGGGAACACAAGCAGGGGGAGTGGGAGAGGGAGAAGCAGGCTCCCGGCCGAGCAGAGAGCCCAGTGCGGGGCTCGATCCCAGGACCCTGGGATCATGACCTGAGCCGAAGGCAGACGCTTAACGACTGAGCCACCCAGGCGCCCCAATAATATTTTTCTTTATAAAAAAGGATCTGAGGGAAAAAATTGACTTATGGTGTTTGCTTATTAGTACTGATTGTTAAGGTCAATTTAAAAAAAAAGTGTGGCAATCTTCCCTAGAAGCCAACTTTACCACTTAGAGATACTTGCTTACTTACTTATTTTAAAGATTTTATTTATTTGCGAGAGACAGAGATAGAGTACAAGCAGGGAGGAGAGGGAGCACAAGAGGGGAGGAGAGGGAGAAGCAGGTTCCCCGCTGAGCAAGGAGCCCAGTGCAGGGCTCAAACCCAGGACCCTGGGACCGTGACCTGAGCCAAAGGCAGACACTTAACCGACTGAGCCACCCAGGTGCCGCTAGGGATGCTTATTTAGAAAGAAACCTGTGGAATGCTAAATTTCTTAGAAGTAATCCTATTAGTCAAACATCCAATCCATGACTATGTTGAAAATAATATTCTTAATTCCTTCTTTGCTCAAAACATAATTTTACTATTCTTGAAGACGGTTTAAAAGTAAACACAAAGTAAAATCTATTAAATCACTGTCTTATTTAAGCAAATTATTAATAAGTACTAAATTATGTGTAAGAATATGGTTTAAGAACAATAAAATGATCATCTTGAATTAGGACACTTAAGTGAATGAAATTATGAAAGAAATCACTTTAAATTACTAGCAAATGTAGGTCTATTTCATTTAAATTAAATATGTAATGTGTTTTTTCTTTAAACCCCCACCCCATTTTTATTTTTAATTCAAGATTCACAATCGATATGAAGGCAAAGACGTTTCAAAGCACAAACGGAATTTGGCTATAACAGGTGGTGTAACATTGTCTGTAATAGTATCTCCAGTTGTAGCTGCAGTAACTGTAGGTAAGAAAATGCTTAAAAATACTGATTACCTCAAATTTTATAGAATTTAAGTTTTATGGAAGGGTTTTTTAAGACAAAGCATTATATTGTGGAAGATAAGAGAGTTACTTTTTTATTTATTTAAGGACAGTTTAAGCTGAGCCTACAGAAAGCCTCTCATTGAGTAACTGTATTGGTTAAAAGTATTATAGTCAAGAGCCTAGAGTTAGAATAACTGGTAAATTCTTATTGGCTGATACCCACCCTCACCTCATAGGTATAGAGCCTTGGCACTTAAAAACAAAAAGGTTTACATCTTTTTTTTCTCATGTGTGTCACCTGAAAGTTTAGAAGTTTTGAATTTGTTTGTGTCCCTTAACAGTTAGGAAAATCTACTTTGGGCAAGGGTTGGAGAACAACAGCACTTTTCTCTGGTACACTTTCTCTTGAAAAGGCTTTCTAAGAACTCATATTTCTGTGATTTATTTTTTAACTTATAATTACTAATTTAATTCCTCTTTAGGTATTGGTGTTCCTATTATGTTAGCCTATGTCTACGGTGTTGTTCCAATTTCTCTCTGTCGAAGTGGAGGTTGTGGAGTCTCAGCAGGCAATGGAAAAGGAGTCAGGATTGAATTTGATGATGAAAATGATATAAATGTTGGTGGAACTAACACAGCTGTAGGTAAGTCTTTTAAGCAAAGGAAGAAGATGTACTTATTAATAGTTTAAGTTGGGGAAATATATAACATGCAAATTAGAATTTCCATTGCCCTCCTTTCACTCGGCCTAGTAACATTCATCCCGATGTACATCAGTGAAATGAATTGCCTGGGAAAGGTGAATGGATGAAAGAGGGTGCAAAAGTTCTAGATACCTAACCTACACTGGGAATGTAATGTCTTAGAAATTCCAGACTTTTAATCTTAAATTTTGCCTAAAACAATACAAATTGGTAAGAACAGGATATGAAGAGAAAGGTAGTTCATAAAAGAAGAAATACAGATGGCCAGTGAATAGAGAGTATCTTTAACGCAATGTTATTCAAAGAAATATGAATTAGAACAATACCTGTAGAATGAAAAGGCCCTCATAGAAATTTCTTATAGAAATTTGTCTTCAGGAAATAATCAGGCAGATGTGCAAAGATAATGTCCACTTTCTTACCTCCCATTCTCTCTTGAACCCACTCTAATCAGATTTGTTCCCTACCACTCCAGGGTTTTGTCTCTACACACTCCACCAAAGCAGGGTCACAAGTGACCTTCATGTTACCAGATAATTAATGGTCAACTCTTGGTTTTCATCTTAATGTAACAATTCATTTGACATGGTAGACTATGCCCTCCTTCTTGAAACATTTTCTTTTCTTATCTTTTGAGAAACCATTTCTCATCTCATTGTATCTCCTAGCCATTTCTTCTCAGTCTTCATCTACACTCATTCCCTGGGGTCATCTCCCCTATTAAATAAAATGTAGACTGACCACTCATAAATTTGTATCTAGGTTAGAACTCTCCTCTGAACTTCACATTTGTACATCTAATTCTCGTTAATCTACACTTAAATGTCTGACAAGAATTTCAAGGTTAACTTGTCTGTAACCAAACTCTTCACTCTAAAACCTGTTCTCTCCATCATCCTCACCTCATCAAGTAGCCTCTCCATTCTTGCTGTTGGTTGGACCAAAAATCTTCACTTACAGTGATTCCTCCTTTTCCCTTCTTACGCTACATCTGATCTGACAGCTAATTCTGGTACTTCCTTCAATATTTAACCATAATCCAACCATTTCTCACCCTCTCCACTGCTATTCCATTAGTCCAAGGTACTATCCTTTTTTTTGGAATATTGTAGTAGCCTCTTTAGCTGATCCATCAACTTCTCATCTTCTGCTCACTATTCCACGGTGTAGCTGTAGTGATACTTCTGAAACATAAATCAGGTCATGTCTTTCTTATGCTCAGAACTCTCCTAGTGCTTCCAACTGTACTGAAGGAAAAACCCACAATCCTTATCATGGCCCATACGGCCCCATGTGATCTGTCCTGGGTTGCATCTCCGAACTCATCTCTTTTTACTCTCCTATTTAATACCACCCCTCCTTGATGTTTCTGAGGATGCCAAGTACACTCCACTTCTAGGCTTTTAAACTTGCAGTTCCCTCTGCCTGGAATAGTCTTCCCCCAGATAATTTTATGGAATATTGTGGTATCAGATCTTGTAATAGCTTGTAGACAATTGGATCTGTAGAATGTATCTAGAAATCAATTTTTGGCCCACTTTATTGATCTAGAGAATAATAAGCTCTCTAAATTAAACCTTTATTGAAAACTCACATATTTTCCTCCAGAGTCAGCTAAATCTTCCAACTGTCAGATTTTTTATTTTTTTATTTTTATTATTTTTTAAGATTTTATTTATTTATTTGACAGACACAGTGAGAGAGGGAACACAAGCAGT